GCGAAGGCACCTTTCCATGGCTAACAATGAAAACATGAGTCCTAAATGCACCAGCCCAGAAAGAAAGGAGAAGTCAGCGGGAGGGGGAAGCCGAATAGTAGCAAAGTCCCACCGCTGCCTGCACCTTTTTGAGTCGACGCGGGGCACGGGAGGACAAAACAAATAAGGGGTGAGGGGGCTGGGGGGGGGAGCCGACAATTGGGGGAAGGGCCCATAAAAACGGCAGGAGGGCAGGCCCCATGGGCCCCGCGGTACCCACAGCCCTGATGGAGGCCCTTTCCCGGTTTGCCCACTCACCCAATCGCAGAAGACGGGGGCCACCAAAGCAGGGCAACAGGAAACGACCATAACAAGTCAGGTAGATTTGTAAAGGAGCAGGCAATCCTTAAGGTTTGCTGGTCCCAGGCCACGTACGGCTTTAAAGGTCAACAGCAGCACCTTGAATTGTGTCCAGACACACACTGGGATCCAGGGTTGATGGGCCAAGACTCGGATAGCGTGGTCCCAACTCTAGCCAACACCCTGACTGCAGCATTCTATTTCAGCTGGAGTTTCTGAACACTTCAAGGGCAGCCCCATGTTAAGCCCACTGTAGTAATCTAACCTAGATGTGACCGAAATACGCACCACAGTGGCCATATCTTTTCCGCCCAGGAAAGGCTGCAGCTGGCTAATCAGTCGGAGCTGGTAAAAGGCACCCCTGGCCACAGCTGCCACCACCTGCTTATCCAGTAGTAGACCCAAGTGCAGGAGCACCCTCAGCCTATGGACCTGTTCCTTCAAGGCGGGCGCGGCCCCATCCAGAAGGTGCGACACCTTAAGTCCCAAGTCAGATGCATACAGACACTCTGCAGGAAGGATGTGGCAGAAAGCCAGCTTGGTGTAGTGGTTAAGAGCACGGACTCTAATCTGGGAGGACTGGGTTTGATTCCCCACGCCTCCACACTCAGGCAGCTGCTGGTGTGACTTTGGTTCAACAAAAGGCGATGGAAAACAGTCACAATAGATAGATATAAACAGACCCGAAGGAAACTGTAAAGTGTGCTAACTGTCAATATATTCAATTTTCACAATACAATATAAAAGTGCAATATAAAGCGAATAATTTTTAGTAGAAATGTTCTGTGAACAAGTTGTTGACGATCTCCTCCGGAATGATTTGTCGTTTCGTTAAAGACTTCTTCCGAACAATGTTGTTTTGCTCATTTGGCGTGTGATAATGTTCTAATGTTCTGATAATGTTCTCATATGCTATCCAGGCAGCATGTTAAATCCTAAGCAACCTCTCTTAGGATTTAACATGCTGCCCGGTTAGAACGTGAGTGAGACATTTAAAAATGTGAATGCTTTTGAAAGAAGAGGTTGTCGGCTAGACGTTATCACACGCCAAATGAGCAAAACAACATTGTTCGGAAGCAGTCTTAACGACAAATCATTCCGGAGGCGATCGTCAACAACTTGTCCACAACAACTTGTCCACAGAACATTTCTACTAATTATTCGCTTTATATTGCACTTTTGTATTGTATTGTGAAAACTGAATATATTGACAGTGAGCGCACTTTACAGTTTCCTTCGTGACCTTGGTTCAGTCACAAGGTCTCTCAGAGCTGTTCTCTCACGGGCAGTTCTCGAAAGAGCTCTCTCAGTCCCATCTGCCTCACAGGGTGTCCGTGGTGGGGAGAGGAAAGGAAGGTGATTGTAAACTGCTTTGAGACTCCTTAGGGTAGTGAAGGTTGGGTTATAAACCCAATCTCTTCTTCTCTTCTTTTTATACCCAGTCTTCCTCCTTAATGGGAACCCAAAGCAGTTCACATCATTCTCCTCTACTTTTATGCTAACAACCCTGAGAGGTAGGTTGGGCTGAGGGCAAGGCTGGCCCAAAGTCACCCAGCTTGGATCTCCTAGATCGACCCTCTAGCCTCTCCCCAACACTGAATCCCATCAGTTTCCTGCCCGCTCAGTCTCCTCCCCTCACTGCAGTCTGCACAACTTTGTCTCATATGGGTTCCATAGGCACTGGCGTCGCCTTTCCACCATGGTCAAAAGGAGCCCCCCCCCCGCCAGTGGGAAAAGCCAGCAGGACCCAGCCCATAGTATTTTTGTTTTGAACAAATCACATTTCTAGCCCCCAGGAGCATAAAAGTCTCTCCACATCCACAGGAATTCCAAACTTGCCTTAAAACAAACGAACGGGAACAGTGAGATTAACTTAATTCTCGACCTGATATCCCATTTGCGGGTTTGTGTGCAAGGCTCCCTCTAAGCTGCAGAGTCCTGTGAGCAAAAGTTCTATTTTCTGAGCCACTGGCATGAAAGTTGTGAGCAGGCGATTTGGCTGCTGCATAAATTGGCTTGCTCTGGAGCCCTCCTTCCTGAGCTAGGACAAAAATGTGCGAGCTGCAGGCTAAAAAACTGTGAGCTAACTCACACTGACTCAGCTTAGAGGGAACACTGGTTGTGTGTCACCAGTGGTAAATTGGCTTGATGACTAGATGGTTTCTAAAGCTCATACTCTGCAAACCTGGCATCAGAGAAAGGCACCTGCTAGAGAGGGGCAAAGGAATCCACCCTCAAGCAAGCCGGGGCCTGCAGGTGGTCAAACAGGTAATTCCACCAGGACCACCCTGCATTATATGCTTATTCCTTATGAACCAGGAAACAGCCCTGCACACTTGGGCTTCCAGCCACCAATGAAAAGAGTGTGTGAGTTATTCTGTAGGACTGAGGGTGCACCTGTGCCGAATGTTTGCTCCTGCCTCTTACTCTGATAAAGTCTGCCAGATGCACTGATCCAACTGCACTGTTTTATCTAGCACCATCTGTGTGCAGAATTACAAGCCTGCCATGGCCCCAAGGAACTTGCAGTCCAAAAAGATCATAAATCCAGGAGGATTTTCAAAACCGGAGGAGAGAAAGGACTGTGTTTGTACCAGCTACTGAGAAAGGAGATTTTCACTCTCCCATAACGGAGGCATCGTTTGTACCAGCTACTGAGAAAGGAGAGAGATTTTCACTCTCCCATAACGGAGGCATGTTCATCCTGGTGGAGTGATTAGTGGTTCGGAGCACGGACTCTAATTGGGGAGAACTGGGTTGGATTCCCCACTTCTCCACCTGTGGCTGCTGGTGTGACCTGGGATCAGTTACAAGTTGCTTCAGAGCTGTTCTCTCAGGAGCAGTTCTCGAAAGAGCTCTCTCAGCCCCACCTACCTCACAGGGTAGGGAGGAAGGGAAAAGGATTGTAAGCAGCTCTGAGACTCCTTCAGATAGTGAAGGGCAGAGTAACCAATCTCTTCTTACAATTCATGGGCACCCAAATAAAGTCAATGCACTGCAGATTCATGACAGACTAAAGAAGCCCAGAGAACTAGCACAGGGAACTCAAAGCCACTGGCTTTGGCCTGGTCTACGATGAGATGGCAGCATTTCCAAGGTGGACTGTACTACTTAAGACTACAGGGGTGGCCATCACCTTTTTATCGCCATCCTGGAAACCAGGAAGAAACACCTAGTGTCTGGAATGGCATGCCAGTTATCCCACTTCCAGGGAATTATTTAAGTAGACAAATATGGGCCAAATGCAGTCCTTCACCTACAACCTGAAACAATACAGTCTGTCCCACCATCTCTGCACCCAGCTGCCTCTTTCTGTTGTGTGTCTGGCCCAGGCCTCGAAGGCTTTCCAAAAAGGCTGGACAAATCTGTGGAGCCTGACGGACAGCTAGTAGTTGCAACAAGCAACGTAAAAAAGCTCCCATGTTCAGAGGGGCTGGAAGTTAACAAGCAGGAGTAGTAGAAAAGAACAAGAGTCCAGTAGCACCTTAAAGATCAGCAAAATTCATGGCAGGGGATGAGCTTCCGTGAGTCCCTGCTCACTTCTTCAGATACAGCGGGGGAAGGTGGGCGGCTTCAACAGCATCCGGTTTAGCTAGCATAGTGTCAGGGTTGTTAGTCAGGTCACACCACACAGGGCTTCATAAGAAGGTGAGTGTTTATTGATGGATCCAGTACTAATGATCACGTATACCACTTGTGTCAGGAACAGCCTTCAGTATAAGGGCCTCTGACTTATAGTGAAATCAAACATCCCCCCCAATGAGCAGAAGCCAATGGTGGCACAAAGGATTTATCCTCTGGTTACAGTAACATCTGAACTGAACAGAACTGCTGTCAGTTCTAGCCCATGCTGGTGTGAGCTACCAGCCTTGTTCCCAGCTCGCCGTCCACCCAGCGGTTCGAAAGCTTCGGCGAGTAGATAAAATGGGTACCACTCCTTAGAGAGGGTGGGCACACTAAAGGTGTTAGCAAGCGAGGAATGTCCAGCTCGGAAGCTCGGAAGCCTGGAAAGATCTCCTCGGCATCAAGAAGCCTGCGATGGGCCGATCCGGCCAGGCGGTGGCAGTGCGGCGCTGCGACTTGAAGCAGTCCTGGAAAAAGCTGACATCATCTAGCCAAGCCGAGTGAATGCCGTCTAGAACACATCTAAGCCTACAGCTGAACAAAATCCCCGCCGGCTGCAAACATGTCCAACTTAAAAGATTTATATGTTGTCCTCCTTTACCCCTATGAATCATTGTTAGTCCCGTGTGAATATGTGTAACTGTAAATCGCTCAGAGCCAGCAGCTATGCAGGATTGAGCGATTAATAAATCAAAAGATATTATTATTATTATTATGGTTTGCGCGTGGGGCAAAGCAAGCAATCTAAGCAAAAAGCCGTTGCGTTCCCAGCCGAGTAAGTGCAGCTGGAGACTACAAGGCCAAGCCTGAGATAGCGCACAGTGGCTGGACAGAGTAGAGCTGAGAACGAGGAGGAGAAAATCCCCCCCACATTCCAGATCCATGACAGGGCTACCTGACACATAGAGGCTGGACTAGAGGGACCCTCAATCGCGACTCTTCAGACGGGTCATACCGGGCTGCTAGAGCCCGTTCGGAAAGAACAGCTCCATTGCCCGGGGTGGGCACCACAAACAAACCAACCTCCGGCTCTACTGAAGCTTCCACCAGCTCCCCGCTCCCCGCCTGCCTCTTGCTCCACTCCAACCACATCTGGTGCAGCTTCTCTTGGCCTCCTTGGAGCTTCTGGCCAACGCCCTCCTTGACGTGTTCCACCTGCCAAGACAGCCAAAGGATTGGGGGGGGGGTTAAGAGGGGGCAGCCATGTTTTCTCCTCATTACAAACATGTCCCTCAGGCAGCAGAGAGAAGAAGAGAAGTTTGGATTTATACCCTGCCCTTCACTACCCAAAGGTGTCTCTTAACCACTACACCAAACTGGCCCCACCACCACCATGGAGTCATCACCAAATAGCAATCATTTCAACTCACCTTGGTTCACACCTGGGCTGAGGCTACTGCCCCCCCCCCCATAATGGATAGCCTCTAGTCCCACCCTCTGGGCACCCCAGCAAATCCCTGCCGGGGAGGGTAGGCCTATAATAAGTGGCTGTAGGAACCCGAGCTGCACCGTTAGGAAAGTAAATTAATGAATAAATATACACTGCAAGCAAGAAACTTTTGTAAACTAATGATGCAAAATTGACTGGTAGTAGTTATATTGTATGGACTGGATGTTCTTGTTATATTGAATGTACTGAATATCTATACTTGATTACAGGGGTCATTTTGTAGAAAAAGAGGTGCAGGAGCTCATTAGCATAACTTATTTGCATATGCCACACCCCCTGACGTCACTGGAAGTGTGTCAGAAGGCAACACCCACTGCTCAGGCTCCACTGGACTGTTTTGGATTGCTAGCTATTGGGGGGGATGGGACGTGCAGATCTGCCCTAGCAGAGGAGGAAGAGTTTGTACCTGAATAAACCTTGGCATTAAAGGTGCCACTGGACTCTTTTGGATTGCTAGCTGGGGGGGGGAACGTGCAGAAGGAAGGAAGGGGAAGGAAGGAAGGAAGGAACGCGGGAGAGAAAAAAGAGAAGGAAAGAAGGAGGGAAAGAAAACCACACCACGGGGTTTCTCGGATGGGAAAGAAAGAGGGAGAGAAGGAAAGAAGGAGGGAAGGAAAGGAAAGGAAAGAAGAAAGAAAGAGGCTTCTTGCTCCTCGTGGCCCGTGGCTGCTGGGAGCAGGGGGTGGGGCTTCTTGCATGTGCCCACCCCCTGGGCTCTTTACTGCTGGAGCTCCGCTCCTTTGCGCTCCTGCAGGAAATGACCCCTGCTTGATTAGGATGTTATAATAATACACAATGCACTTTATAGAATGATAGTTATAAACAGAACACATTAATTTACAAAAGTTTCTTGCAGTGTATATTTATTCGTTACTTGACTATAATAAGTGGCATCAGCCAATGAGAGGCTGTAGAACCGGGGGGGTGGGGCAGAATTAGGTGGAGGGAAACTCAGCTATTGCCTCAGACAGGGCTAGGGGAAGTGACAGAGAAACAGGGAACAGTTAGGCCTTGCCCAGTGAAGGAAAAGAGCTCAGGTTTCTATAGGACAGGTATATAGAGTTCTGGAGCTGACAGAGTCAGGAGTAGTGCAGGTAGAGCAGGGAAATAGCAAGATCAGGATTGGTGAGGGGATTGAGGGAAATATCCCCAAGAGAAAAGCTAACCCCTGAGATTCTTAGGTGTGAGGAGAAGTTTGAGTGGAGTCACTCTCTCTTTCTGAGAAAAACACCCTGTCAGTTCAGTAAAGCTGTGTCTGAAACCGCGACTGTTTTAAAGCAGAGTTTCTGCCACCCCTTGCTGTAGATAACCCAGTAACTTGCTACCTTCCTTGCCTTCCCCACCAAGCCACTTAAACATCGAGCCTTTCTAAAGAAGAGACAATGAACCTTTTTGGAAAGGGGGAGGGGATTGTGAAAAAGTGTTGGTGTGACTCACACCAGGAGAAGGGGAGGGGGAACGTCGTAGAAATCACCTCAGATTCCTGTTATGAGGTAATTTCTATGACTTTCCCCAGGAGATAGTACAGGAATCTGAGGTGATTTCTACTCCTTCTCCTGGAGTGATTCACGCTAACACCTTCTTTTCACAATACAAACAAATGAAGTTTATTCTTCTGTAAAAGCAGCGCATAGCCCAGCTCAGTTATTTATTAACATTGTCTGCCTGACACAATCCTGGCCGTAACCGAATCAGCTCTGTGACTCCGGGCTGGGAGGTGTGACGGGGCAAGTGGGTAGCTGAGGAAACACCTGGCCATCACACACACAAAGCCCTTCTCCCTTTTGATGCATGGAACACTATACAGCAGGGGTGTCAAACATGCGGCCCAGGTGCCGGATGAGGCCCCCTGAGGGCTTTTACCAGGCCCGCGGTGGAACTGGCTATCTTCTGCTTCTTCTTCCAGTTCTGCTGCTGCTGCGTCATTGTAGGTTTGCAGCTTACAGATACACATCTGAACAGCATACTCAAGATTGCAACAGCACAGACATTCCAATGCAATAATTCAGAGCGAGAGGTGGCAGTTATCAGACACTGCTAAATAAACAAAATATTGCAAGGGTGCTAATGTTTTAAGCATGTTTTTAAGTAAAAAAAAAAAACCCTTCGTGTTTGTGTCCATTATAAAGTTCATATCTCCGCTACTTGGCATTACATTTTATGACACACGTGGCCCGGCCCAACAAAGTGTCATTTATGTCAGATCTGGCCCTCATAACAAATGAGGTCGACACCCCTGCTGTATACAACTTTAGCTTTACTTTCTTAAACCACCATTGACCACCCACTAACATACGTCGCCTCTGCTTGGTTTCCTGCCCTCAGCTGCACTCCCTTGTCGGCTCCTCCCCTGGCTCGTCCCTAGTTCTATGTGAGGATTTACACCTAGCTCCTCCTCCTTTTCAACCTCAGCCAGGGCTCTTTTTGTAGAAAAAGCCCAACAGGAACTCATTAGCATAACAGGCCACACCCAACACCAGAAACACATTAGCATATTAGGCCACACCCTGACAGCACCGCTCATTAGCACATTAGGCCACACCCCCATGTTACCAGAAGTGTGGTTATTCAGCCACACCCACCTTTTGCTTGTTATTTTGTTTACCTAGTTTGTTGTCAAAACCCAGGGCTTTTTTGTAGTAGGAACCCCTTTGCATGTTAGGCCACACACCCCTAATGTAGCCAATCCTAATGAGTTTCTGCTGTTGGGTGTGGCCTATTATGCTAATGAGTTCCTGCTGGGCGTGGCCAACTTGGGAGCCAGCCGGAACTCCGTTCCTGTGCGTTCCTGCCCAAAAATAGCCCTGCAATTCCCATCACCCTTCCCATCGCTGAACTTCCCTCTCTCTGTTTCTTTCCCCAGACAGCAAGTCCTGAACGAATGCCAGGTGGTTGTGGGGCTGTTTCCCCGTTCAAACTGACCCCTTGCTTGCCTCAAAGAAGCTGCCGCCGTTCTACTGAACACACCTTCACCCTTCAGCAGTCTGAGGGACCGCCTTTCCCCACTATGTCCCCCAAAGAGCACTGAGATCAGGGTCGCAAAATCCCCTGACTCTCCTTGGTCCGAAAGATGCCAGATTGGCTGCTACCAGGGCCAGGGCCTTCTCGGTGGCGGCTCCGCACTGGTGGAATGAGCTCCCGGAAGACATCAGGGCCCTATGGGACCTCTTACAGTTCCACAGGGCCTGTAAAACGGAGCTCTTTCACCAGGCCATCGATTAGGAGCTGCCGCTGAGGAATGAGCTATTAAAGACTGAACTACTTCGGCCCTTATGCTATTGGCACTAAGAACAACTATGGATACTGATTTAGGTATATTGGACCACCATACAGCAATCGCCATCTGCACTCAACTGCACTTTGTACATATATTGTTGTTACGTGAATTTTATAGTACTGCACTTACGTATTTGTGTTCTATTGTATTTCAACCTGTTGTATGCCGCCTTGAGCCTGCCTGTGCAGGAAAGGCAGGTTATAAATCGAAAATAATAAATAAATAGTTTGAGACCATTCAGCGACATCACAGTAGCTCAGCAAAGTGACAGCAGGCTACAGACGTTGACAGCAGGGTGAGCAACCAAGGTGGCCCAAGAGGAGGCTTCAGAGAGGTCCCCCATCAGGGCATTCTTACCAGCTCGATCATCAGGTGGAGCTGGGCTAGGGAGACTTCTGTGCCCTGCCGGATGCTCCACAGCTTGCCCACAGAATGCTGGTAGGCCCGGTGGCGGAGTTTGCTTGAGAGAGACCCCAGGCGGACGAAATAGCTCTGCCGCTCATTCGGCTGCTTTGGGGTGGCCGGCTCAGAGCAAGCCGGCTCAGAGGAATCCAACGAGGCAGCCATTTCGACTGGAAGAAAGAAATCGAGACGGTTCCTGGCCATCAACAGGCAAGCTCAAGAAATTGCCAGCTGGCTAGTCGTATTTTGATCCTGCCCTTTCCTTAAAGGAACTCAGGGTGGCATACAGGGGGTCATGCAGTTACCACATCCCCCCAGCCACCGGGTTGCCCAGATCCAGGTTGGGAAACCCCTGGAGGTTTGGGGATGGAGCCCGGGGAGAACAGGGACCTCAGTGGCGCACAATGCCATAGAGCCCAACCTCCAAAGCATCCATTTTCTCCACTGAGTGGATATATCACTCTTACTACGTTTCAGGCAGAAACCCTGTTTAACAGGATGCCTTTTAATCCATACGGCTAGCCGGAAGCCCTTTAATCCATACGGCTAGCCGGAAGCCCTTTAATCCATACGGCTAGCCGGAAGCCCTTTAATCCATACGGCTAGCCGGAAGCCCTTTAATCTATATGGCTAGCTGGAAGCCCTTTAATCTATACGGCTAGCCAAAAGCCCTGGTGGCCATAAGCTCCACCTAGCCCCATCCACTTTCTAAAAGTACTTGGCGGGCATTGGGGAAGGTGTTGGTGGGTGCCCTGGCACTCACGGGCACCACGCTGGGGACCCCAGTTCTAGTCCCTACTGTCAAGATAGGGCACTGCCCTATGCCTCACACTCTACTCACTTAGCTCTTGCTCCGTCACAGGGAGGTAATGGTCCACAAGGTCTTCTGACATGTCCAGTACAGCATCCATGCCGTTTGCCACCATCTGGCCCACTCTGGACCCCATGACGGTACTCACGCTGCCCGACACCACCGATCTGGTCATGTCCACCACCCCGCTCACGCCACTGGCCACAGCATCCTTGGCCCCATTGACGGTACTCGAGACCACTTCCTTGGTGCTGGCAACCACCTGGAAGGTTAGGAGTTCACATTTCAGGATGGAGAGAAAGAGGCGACCATTCCTTCCAACCACCTGGCACAAAAAGCTCTTTGGGGAAGGGGCTTCCAAAGCTCAATATAAAACCCCTGAGATCACAAAAAGCAATATGATGACAGGTATCAACGGAAGAAAAATATTGCCACTTAGGAAAATACAAGAAACACTTAAACCTGGTGGCAGCAACACTTGATCTTCGCCAAAAGACTGAGAAGCGATATTATAAATTATAAGAGAATAAATTGTATATTAAAAAGTTTGGTCTAGAGAACACTTATTGATGTTTATTTAAATAAGATTGGTTAGAGAAGTATGTTTAAAAACTTTAACTCATAGCTGTCAGCGTCCTTAGCCAGGTTACTCAACACAGGGCTTCATGAGAAGGTAACTGTTTATTGGTAAATCCAGTACTAGAGACACATGCAGTGTTCCCTCTAAGCTGAGTTAGTGTGAGCTAGCTCACATTTTTTTAGCCTCTGGCTCAGGAAAGAGGGCTCCAGAGCAAACTAATTTATGCAGTAGCCAAATCGCCTGCTCTCAACTTGAATGCCAGTAGCTTTACAAAGTAGCATTTTTGCTCACAAGACTCCACAGCTTAGAGGGAGCATTGGACACGTGTACAGCTTGTGTCAGGAATGGCCGCCAATACTAGGGCCTCTGACTTATACTAGAGTCAAACATCCCCCCGGTAAGCATGAGCCAATGGATACATCTCGCGCGCGTGGGCAAAGCAAGCAGGCAAAGCAAAAACCGTTAACTTTCCCAGCCGAGACTAAAGCTGGAGCATCTACAAGGTCAAGCATAACATAGCAAACAGTTGGTGAGCCAGGGAGAGCTGAGACAGAAAACGGGAGGGCACCCCTCCACATTCCAGACCTATGACAGGGCTACCTGACAATAGTTAGGTAAGGTTTATAACAGAGGATTGCATAGATTGTAAATTTATAAAGTTATCAAGGTCTTAATCTGATATAAAAAAGCCCTCCTCCTCCTATATAAACAAGATTGGTTTAAGGATCCCATGAGCTTGTGTTTAGGGAACATAGATATGCTTAAGAAACTTTATTAAATGGAAGATTTTAAAAAGTGTAAGCAAGGCTGATATTAAGAATTCAGCTTGATTTGTAGTTTTTCCCAAGTTGTAAGATTGATGTTTAGTACCTGCAGTGCTTCAAAATCTTTCAAATCGTTTTCTTTTGTAAGTAATAAGTCGTAGCATACAATTTTGTCTTCCGTCATTAGGTTAGGCATTATGAATGCTTCAAGCGGGGAAACCCATCTAGGTATTTTGTCATAAAATTTTTCTTTTACCTTTCTCCATATTCTTATTAGTGAATCTCTTAGAATATGTCTGCAGAAATGCTGCTGGTTTTTTTTCTTCATCGTACCACACATAGGCCCATGTGTAGCCCGTGAGCCTCCAGCTTTAAAGTTCTCCTGTCCTCTAATAATGCCCATTCACGTATCCACCCCATTGCAGCCGCTTTGTAGTAGAGTTTCCAATCTGGGAGACCCATACCTCCTCTTTCTTTTTTGTCATGCAACAATTTTAGTCTGATACGCGGTCTCTTTGCCTTCCACATAAATTTCCTTATAATTTGGTCTAGTTCTTCACATATTTTGTAATTTGTTAATATAGGAATTGTTTGGGCCAAAAATAAAAATCTTGGTAGAATATTCATTTTTATAGTGGCTGTTCTGCCCATCAGTGAAATGTGAAGGTCCTGCCATTTTTGCAAATCTTTCTTAATTTCTTCTATTAGGGTTTATAATTGTTTTCATATAGTTGCATGTTTTTGTTTGTCAAGTTGATGCCTAAGTATTTCACCTTGTGCCATTAGAACCAGAAATATACTTGTTGAACATCTTACCGGATAGGATAAAATATAACGATACATATTTGATATTGTATATCCTCACAATCGCTAGAATAGCTATAGCAAAATGTTGGAAATCTGAATGACTGTGTGTTTAAGAAAAGATGGCAGAAATTAGACAATTGGTTTGAAATGTATGGATAAGAAACTCCAAAAGGTGATGAAAATGTATACGTTTTTTGTGTTTTTTTCTTTTTGTTACAAAAAACCAAAATAAAATATTTTTTAAAAAGAAAAAAAAGAATTCAGCTTGATTTAAGAGGCAGGCTACAGAATTCTTTTTTGGTGACGTTAAAACAATTAGAACAAATAGAATGAGAAAAGAATTTGACTATGAATTTGGAGAACTGCAGAAATTCACTTAATATCTAAATGTATGTTATAGATTATTGTAGAATGCTTAGATAATGTTTAAACAGAAGAAACATGTTTTGTTAATCTATAGAGTTGCAAAAATTATAGACCCATGTGCTTATGAAGTTTTAAGATATACTTAAATCTAGAATTATACAAAACGGTAATGAAACATCGTTGACAGTGCTTAAATATTAATAAATAGGTAATGCTTAACATAGGCTTGCAAAGTTATTAGTTGGCTATATGGTTGAAAGAATGGCAATTAGATATACATGTATGAGGTAGTTAAGAGATATAATGTTGATATTATTACTCTCATGTATGTTTGTTTGTCTGTTTTGTTTTGTTTAAAACAATAAAAATTATTTTTAAAAAACCCTGGTGGTGGCAGTGGGGAATGAAAAGGCTTTATCTGGTGGCCAGATCCAAGTAAGGTACTGTGGAGGGGAGTTTCAGAGTCAAGGTGCCTCCACCAAGAAAGCCCTGCCCCTGGCTTGCCACCTCATTTCGGAAGCCGCAGGGTCTCTGAAGACTTTAGCCCCTCGTTGCAAAACTATTATGGCTAGGCTATGTTGCAAAACAAACATGGAAGGCAAATGGCACTTCAGAACGGCCTACGGTCAGGACCACCCATGTGAACGCTGTAGCTTAGTGAGGCCCTGCCTCACCCCTTCGAAGGAAAGTATTAGATGGCTGCTAACAAAGATCCGGAGAGTGATTTCAACAAAAGTGATCAGCTTTATTGTAGGTACGAACAAGCGCTTGAAAGAAGTTGTGGAGAAACGCCATTTTAGGTATGTTTAAGTTGGTGTGGGCCAGATAGGAGGGGACTATTAAACCTGAGGTAGGCCTTGGCCTAGTCTCCTCCTCATCCCCCCCCCCTTGTTCCAACCAGCAGTTTCTTCCCTCGCAGGGAATTGGTGCAGTTCTGATTGGTCGCTGTTGTGGAGTGACCAATAGTAAGTTAGTTCGGAGGAGCCTTCGTCTGGCTCGAAGCTTAACATGGTCATGCGGCGATTCACGTAAGCCTTTTCGAATACACCACAGAAAAGATTATATAATCTTTCCTTTCCCTGTCTTTTGATCTAATATCTATCTACCTACCTAAATAAATAAAGGTGTCTCAGATTTCTTCTCCAAGTTTCTAGACCTGGGGTGTCAAACATGCGGCCCGAGGGCTGGATCAGATCCCCGGAGGGCTTCCATCAGGCCTGCAGTAGAACTGGCCGTCTCCTGCTTCCAGTTCTGCTGCTGCTGCTGCTGCTGCATCATAGCCTGCTTCACCAGACTCTCTTAATCACTCAGCCATTTCGTGTTTTAACCCGGGTCCTAGACTCAGAACTCTGAGCATGAGATTTCTGTGGCGAATGTCAATAGATCAAAAGTAGGTTTGCAGCTTACAGAGCTAATGTTTTAAGCATGTCTTCGTGTCCTTTATAAAGTTTATATCTCCGCTACCTGGCATTACCTTTTATGACACGTGTGGCCCGGCCCAACAAGATCTCCTTTGTGTCAGATCCGGCCCTCGTAACAAATGAGTTAGTCACCCCTGCCCTAGACCTCAAGGCTGGGGTCAGGCTTAAAATAACGGCCACAATCGCATTATGAGCCAGCCAGTTAGTAGAGTCCCACCAATGCGTTTCCTGCAGACTTGATGCCAAGGGGAGACACGAAGAAGGGCAACAATTCCCAGGCGGTTGCTGTGATCAACCACCAGCCATGCTGTTCCTTGCTGGCAAGCAGGGGTCATTTTGTAGAAAAAGAGGTGCAGGAGCTCATTAGCATAACTTATTTGCATATGCCACACTCCCTGACGTCACCAGACGTGTGTCAGAAGGCAACACCCACCGCTCAGGCTTCACTGGACTGTTTTTGATTGCTAGCTGTTGGGGGGGGGGGGGAGGATGTGCAGATCTGTCCTCGCAGAGGAGGGAGAGCTTGTACCTGAATGAAATTTGGTCTTAAAGGTGCCACTGGACTGTTTTGGACTGGGCGGCCGGGGAGGCTCTGCAGCTTACCTGGCTGCTTCTTGCTCTGACTGAGGGCTGCTGGGAGCAGGGGCTGGGGCTTGTTGCATGTGCCCGCCCCCAGGAGCTCTGCTCCTGTGCACTCCTGCAGGAAATGTCCCCTGCTGGCAAGCATTCACTTGCACTGAAATGACAGACTGTAAACCCCGAGGAACGGCTGGAGGCCTAGTCCTCACCGAGAATGTATTTATTTAATTATTTACTTATTTGATTTATATCCCGCCCTCCCTGCCAAGGCAGGCTCAGGGCGGCTTACATATAGCATGTTAAGATGATTAAAACATATATTTCCGCAAAACCACAAAGATATGATAATAAAAACATATCATAAAGTGGTGGCATCATTTGTAAAAGACGGTGGACATTCACAGCATCCAATAGTCAGCTACTACATAGTCGAGATTATAGCAGGCTGTTGATCACGATGTTTATATTGGTGCTGCCACTGGGGCCAGGGCCTCGGTGTTGAAAAGGGAGGCTCCCTAGTCAAAGGCCTGGCGGAAGAGCTCCATCTCGCAGGCCCTGCGGAACTGTAAAAGGTTCCACAAGGCCCTGATGTCCTCCGGGAGCTCATTCCACCAGTACGGAGCCGTCACTGAGAAGGCCCTGGCGATGGCCAACCTGGCTTCTTTAGTGCTCTCTGGGGAACGTGTGGGGAAAGACAGTCCCTTAGGTATGTGGGTCCCTGACCATGTAGGGCTTTAAAGGTGAGACCCAGCACCTCAAACCGAATTTGGTATGCTCTAGGCAGCCAGTGCAGTGATTTTAGCGCAGACTGGATGTGTTCCCGCATAAGGAGACCCAACAACAGCCTGGCCGCTGCAGCTTCCGGATTTGGGACAAGGGCAGCCCCATGTAGAGACCATTACAGTAATCCAGTCTCGAGGTGACCATTGCATGGATCACTGTCGCCAGGTCATTGCGTTCAAGGAAGGGAACCAACTGCCTACCCTGACTGCACAGGCACACAATTAAATGTACCAACCCCTCCCCCCAAACCACTTGCACATAACTAGCAGGTCAGTACAAAGCATTCAAACCTTATTTCTTCCCAACAATGTTAAAATATTGACATTCTATCCCGGAAAGATTTAAAAAGTTGAAACAGCACCAGGAAACCTGACAGGCTAGCCTTCTAAGTACGGGGAGGTTTGGAATGCTCAGTGGTGCGAGCCTTCCAGATACAGACCTATGGTAACACCCAAGGGTGACTTGTACAGCACCAAGCACAGCAATGGACCAACAGGGTGCTGGGTGGCTTCTTGGCAAGACCCTGAACTCGCACCCTAGGAGAACAGGGGAGGAGATACTCACCTTCTCAGACGGCTGCTGCAAAATGGGTAGTTTTTCTTCCAATTTATCCAGGCTCTTGCATGCATACTCATTGGCTGTTGCAACTAGAGGGAGAGAAGAGAGAGACGTATGTTTCCCTTTGGTCCTGAGAGTGGAAGAGTTCACCGCTTTCCCCAAGTTGCTGGTCCTCATGATGGCAAGATTTGTGTCCTTGGGTACAATATTGGTAGGCTGCCTTTCCAAAACATGTGGCTCCCAAGGAGCTTATACTGCACCTCAAAATAAATCGAAAAAACGCAGCTGAATAAAAGCAAGTTTTAAAAGAAGAAGAGAAGAAGAGATTGGATTTATACCCCCGCCCTTCACTCGGGGTCTCAGAGCGGCTTACAAACTCCTTTTCCCTTCCCCTCCCCACAACAGACACCCTGTGAGGTAGGTGGGGCTGAGAACTGTGGCTTGCCCAAGGTCATCCAGCAGCTGCAAGTGGAGGAGTGGGGAATCAAACCCGGTTCTCCCAGATTAGAGTCTGCACACTTAACCACGACAGCAAACTGGAGACTCTCCATCCCTTGGCACGCAGAATCAGCAAGGCTGAATCTCTGTTACCGCATGTATACAGGGATGAGCTTGGCTTGTTTTCGTGACACCACTGAGCTCCAGCGTCATTCTCGCATCTCTTTGTCAACTAGGGTTTTCAGGTTCAATCTTGTCCCCAGTGGGGTACTGGGTGGGGGCGTTCCAGGAGGGGGCGTGGCCATCCCCAATGTGATGAAGTCACACAGAATGACATTATCATGACCCGGACGTAGCTTGTACATGCCTCCACTTCTTTCCAACCATTTAAAGGAAACCTTCCCTTTAAACAGTGGGGAGGGGGAGCAAGTGAACTACATGCACCTGCCCTGCAAACGGCAAATTTGCTGCTTGTGGGGCACGTGTGTGGGGCACCTGCTTTTTTCAAGTGGGGCAGCAGATGACTGTTGGGGACAGGGTTTCTCCTGCTGGCCGGCATTGTGGGGGGAGCCCTAAAAGTTAGGGGAGCCCCCGATCCCACCGGGGGACTGGCACCCCTACGGTTAACTCTTGCATTTATGTGGTAATTTGCTGCCATCCATTGATCTTACTGGCCACCTGATCCAATTTCAGCTCTATATATGGATCTTGGCTCTGAGTGGCCCCTCCTAATAGCTGCCCCCCATCCTCTTTTTTCCTGTAAATAACCCTTGAGGAGATTTTATTCCAATTTGCCTGAAGAAGGGTGCTTTGCACACGAAAGCTTACACTGTCATGATCTGGCCTGTGCCACCAGAGGCCTCCTAGGCCAAGGGAGCCTGGCTAGCAGTAGGTGAGGCTGGGCCTACAACTCCCAGAAGCCCCTGAGAGGTTTTGGAGCCAAAATTGACGAATAGGGAAGAAGAGGGCTGGGGAACAAAAGAGCTGATGCCAGAGCAGAAGCTGTTCTTCTTCCCAGAGGGCAGAGCCAGAAGGGAGGCTGCTGCAAGGAAGAAACCCTCATCCTGAGGGAAGGGTGAGTAGTCTGAGGACACTTGGAATAGTGAGCTAGGGACAGTATATATTTAGACGCATTAGGGCATCTGATTTCTTTTTTTTTCACTCACTTACTGTTATTATTCTGCACCTTGTAGTTTGACCTCCTATAACATAAACCTTTTCCTTGTTTCACTCTGCCTGGTCCTCACGCCTATTATTCGGCCAAAAAGGAGGTCTGAAGGTCTTGGGAGGGTGCTCTGGGCCTTCTCGAGGGAACCTAAATCCAGAGTGGTGGCAGCATCAGGTGACACCCCACCTGAGTCATGACATACACACTGAATGAAACTTTGTTGGTCTTAAAGGTGCCACTGGACTCAGACTTTGTTCTACAATCAGCAATGTTCCTCTCCTATGAAAGGAGAGCAGGCTTGATTAAGCAAAGACTTGTTGATATTGAGACATAAGAATTGAAAAGCCCGGCTTCTTGTCGTTGTTGGGAGCTTTCATCTGGCCCTTCCCTTCCTGAATACCTCTCTTGTTTGTGTGATCCTCATCTTCGTAGGGCGTTTTTGTTAGCCCGTTTTAATGTTCTCCCATCTATGGTGCCATATGGGAGATTCAAGAGAATTCCATATACAGATAGGTTGCGTCCATGTGGGATGAGTGAGATCGAAGGTAACAATCATGTTATTTTGCACTGTTAGGTTTTATGACGATCTCCATGCTGTATTTTTAAAGCCTTTCCTGCTACCTTTGGAGGGCCGATCCGAGGATCGTAAGACCTTTATACTTTTAGCCTCAAGTAAGAGCGGAATCACTGAACCTGTAGGAAAATTTCTCTACCAGGCCTCTAGGAGGCGATGTTCTTCCTAACCACAGATTCCAGTGTATTTTATTTGGATTTGTGCTGTAATGCCAATAAAGGTGTCTGTGTGTGTGTGTGTAATAAAGGAGGGCAGGGAACAGCACACAGGGAATTCGGGGGGGGGGGGTCAGGAGCAGTGTTCCCTCTAAGCTGAGTTAGTGTGAGCTAGCTCACAGTTTTTTAGCCTCCAGCTCACACATTTTTGTTTTAGCTCAGGAAGGAGGGCTCTAGAGCAAACTAATTCATACAGTAGCCAAATCACTTGCTCACAACTTTTAATGCCAGTAGCTCACAAAGTACAATTTTTGCTCACAAGACTTCACAGCTTAGAGGGAACATTGGTCAGGGGCATCCCACACTTCTGGAGGACGCCTGAGACAACACGCTTTGCCAAGTTCGTAGTCCACATGGGGGCAGAGATCGCCAGACCCTAGCCACACCATAGCGAGGCTGAACCCAACAACCCAGAGACGGCCACGCGACTTAAGGTTGCCGAACTCCCAGAGGCAGCTAGAGATCTCCTGGGGTTAAACTGATCTTCAGGCCACAGAGATCTGTTCACCTGACGAAAATGGCTGCTTTGGAAGGTGGACTCTATGACATTGTGCTCCACTGAAGTCCCTCCCCAAGCCCCGCCCTCCTCAGGGTCCACCCCCAAAACCTCCAGTTATTTCTCAACCTGGAGGTGGAAACCCTACGGCTACAGCCCTGCATGGTTCCTCAGCTCTCGTTACTATGAGTACAAAACACAGAACTCATGTCAAGTGAGAAATCCTAGCCCTTCGTGTAATTTTAATACAGGTTGTGACACCCACAATGTCTCCTTATAGAAGCTGGGTGAACCACGGGCCCCAGAGAACGGAGAACTCTAGGCCCGACACACACATGTCCCAGATACCAGAAGTGGCCGATCCACCTCCGTATATTTATTGGATTTATAACCTGTCCTTCCACACATAGCAGGACTCAGGGTGGGTAATACCATTAAATTAGGTTAAAAACCTTTTACCAAATATCTAAAACAACTCGGAAATTTACAATCCAATAAGACAACCCTTAAGGAGAGCACAGTATTTACCAAACATCTAAAACAACTCGGAAATTCACAACAATCGAATAAGACAACCCTTAAGGAGAGCACAGTAGTGCCTCATTTCCCGACAGTGTGGGAAGGGAAGAAAGGAAGATGCAAGGAAAAGGGGAAGTCAGTCTACTTAGAAATCATCGCAGTCCTCAGCCATAGGGCCTGGCGGAACAGCTCCGTTTCACAGGCCCCACAGAACTGCATCAGCTTGCACTGGATGAATGATGTTGTGGTTCGTGTTTTGACTGTTTTAATTTTTGCAGATTGTATTTTTTACTAAATTTGATGGAACCCACCCTGAGCCTGCTACGCGGGGAGGGTGGGATATAAAATAAAAAAAATAAATAAACCTCACTCAGTAGTAGTAGAAGAAGAAGAGATTGAATTTATACCCCGCCCTTCACTACCCAGAGGAGTCTCAGAGCAGCTTACAATCTCCTTCCCCTTCTCCTCCCCACAACAAACACCCTGTGAGGTAGGTGGGGCTGAGAGAGCCCTGACAGAAACTGCTCTTTTTCAAGAACAGCTCTTATCAGAACTACGGCTTGCCCAAGGTCATCCAGCAGGTGCAAGTGGAGGGGTGGGGAAATCAAACCCGGTTCTCCCAGATTAGAGTCCGCACACTTGACCACTACACCAAACCGGCTAGAGAGTTCCACCAGGCAGGAGCCAGGGTCGAAAAAGCGCCGGCTCTGGTCCAGGGCAGCCAAACACCCTTTGGGCCAAGGATTACCAGTAGATTTTTGTCCGTTGAGCGCAATGCTCTTTGGGGGTATACCAGGAGAGGCAGATCCTGTAGGTACACTGGTCCCAGACTGCTTAGGGCCTTACAGCTAAGTCACCTACTCTGAGGTTCCAGCTTAGTCAAGAAGGGCTGGGCCCCACTCACGGCGGCCGCCGTGAGGGTCTTCACACTCTTCTCCGCCACATCGCAGACAGACTTGAGGTAGGGGTGGGTCTCTTTTGTGGAGGCGTAGGCTGAGGAGACCATGTCATAGGTTGAGCTCACAAGCGGCAGATTGGCAACTCGACTGACCACATTCTAGGAAGAGTAGAGGGGGGAAAGTTGAGAGGAAAGTATCACTCTGTTCTTGAAATCAGAACTCTAGCTTTAAGACACAAAACCTTCCGATTCATTGACACCAGGGGTCCTCTACACGGTGCCAACGCCTCTTCGGGCATCTGCCGAGTGTTTTTAGGAAGCGGGTGTGGCCTGGTAGAGTTTTTGCCCAGCAAGGCTTCCGATTGGCTGGGCAGATTTTTAAAACATCGTGTCAGCAGCCACTGCCATCACAGCACAAGGACCTGCACTCTGTTGCTGAAGCTAAACTGTGGAAACCATTTTGTGGCTGGCTCCGCCTCCTGCGGCAGCCATTTTGTGGCTCCACCAACCATGCGATGTCAGAATTCCAAATGTAATAGAATATTGGAACTCTAGCGTGTTCATTAATTAAAAAACTGGCCAATTACCGATGTAATCTAAAGCTAGAGCCTCCCTCACCACAGTGTTGATGATATTTAAAACCTCATCTGTTGGATCATAAGAAATGTGTTTGTAAAATCCAGTTTCTGAGAGCTGTTTGGAAACTTCTTGAATATAGAATGTTCTGTCAGGCAGTACTAATCCTCCACCCTTGTCTGCCCCTTTAATAACAACCGAAGGGTCTTTACTAAGGGAACTAAGTCATTCTTGTTCATCTCTGGTGAGGTTATATTTGAGACGTTTTTTGTGGGACTCCAAATATTGAATGTCTTCAAGCACTCGTCTCTCAAATACAGTAATGGAAGGTACACTGACATGAGGAATGAATGCTGATTTATTCTTAAAGGGTGAAGGAGTACAAAAAACAGTGTTGCCAAAAAAAGGATCTTAACTTCAGTAGCCTAGTTAATTTGAAAAGGTCAATGCGAGTATGAAAGGCATTATACTTAGGAGTCATAGCAAAGCCTAAGCCTAAATTAAGGACCTGTGCCCGGTTAGGGGGGATGGTGAAGCTAGAAAGATTGATAACTAGGTCTTTTTTCTCCCTCTCTTGCTTTGAGGAAAGTATTCTCTTGCTCTCGTTTTGGAACGTCTTGCTAAAAACGTTCGCTGATACGTAGTGTTTGGGGTGTGCCATTTGTATACCCTATTAAGGGCATAGTCTCTATTGTTCCTTTCTAATTTCTTGATCTTAGTTTCCCTAGTGTTATCCGCATATGTTTTCAACTGTTCCCAGAGTTCCTTAAATTGATTTTCAAAAGTTTCAGATGGTATTTTTCCTTTTAGTTTATCCTCCATGGTTTTTATCTCACCTTTAAGGGACTCTGCCTCAGCTGAGGCTTGCTCTATAATCAACAACATTGTAGGAGCATTTGTTCAATATTGCTGTCCACTTATTTCTAAACTCCTCTTTGTCTAAGAACATAGCAGGGCCCTTTTGTATACGCAGCCCTCTTGGGATGATGTCCGACTGACAGTACTCCATAAGGGAGGATGCATGCAGGGTCATGCGAATGTCTTTTTTATATAAATATTCCAATTGAGTCCAGTTAGAAAACGTCTCAAATATAACCTCACCAGAGATGAACAGGAATGGCTTAGGTCCCTTAGTAAAGACCCTTCGGTTGTTATTAAAGAGGCAGACAAGGGTGGAGGATTAGTGCTGCTTGACAGAACATTCTATATTCAGGAAGTTTCCAAACAGCTCTCAGAAACTGAATTTTACAAACACATTTCTTATGATCCAACAGAATGTACCTGTGGGCTAAGAAAGGTTGGGGATCCCCGATTTAAATATTGGAATAAGAAAAAAAACACCGTGTATAATGAAACCAGTCATCTGGCGTTCCATTTCCATTTCCCCACAGCAGCCAGGTCCCTCCCAAGCCTGAAACATAAGCCAAAGATGCCCTCTGCTGATGGTCAGAGGTAGACTGCCTCTACACATGAAGGTTCCACCGAGCCACCTTAAAAGCCCTCTTTCATGAATGATGCAAGCCTCTTCTGAAAGCCAACTAAACCGGTGTTCATCAGCATCTCATTTGCAAAGGACCATCCCAGACCTACCGCCAATGCTCCCTCTAAGCTGTGGAGTCTTGTGAGCAAAAATTCTACTTTGTGAGCCGCTGGCATTAAAGTTGTGAGCGAGCCATTTGCCTACTGAATAGATTCGTTTGCTCTGGAGCCCCCCTTCCTGAGCTGAGACGGAAATCTGTGAGCTGGAGGCTAAAAAACTGTGAGCTGGCTCACACGTAACTCAGCTTAGACGGAACACTGATGGGCACCGAGAGCTTTTTTTCTGGGGAGACGGGAGTTCCAGAACCTTTCCGACAAAAGTTCTTTTAAAACCGTTTGAGAGTTCATGAGGTTTCAGTATACAGACTGAAAACCTCATCTCCCTCTCGAGAGTTCCGGCACCCCTTTTTCCAAAAAGAAAGCCCTGCTGCCACCCATTCATAAATGCCCACCACCGGGGTGGATTAAGGCTCACCGGTGCCCTAAGCACTGACCAATCTTGGTACCCCCCCCTCCTTTCCACACTGACCCAGCGTCCATTTTAGTTGTTGACCTGTCTGACCAGATATACAAAGCAGGTTGCAGCAAGACAAACATTTATTCATAGGATAACACAATAGACTGTACAAACTAAGCCAAGCTTGGGCTACATAAAGTTCTTTTCACCCTTTCCCCAACTTTGGGGTGCCTCCTTGGCCCTGGCGCCCTAAGCACGTGCTTAGTCTGCTTAAGGGTCAATCCGCCCCTGCCCACCACAGAGCCTGTGAGTTATGAGGTTGAGGAGGGGAACCACTGAAGACACCCCCCCCCAAGGAACTTTAGTTTAGGGTTGACTCTTTGCTGACAGACCAATGGATTCCCCCCTCCCCCAAAGAACCTTGGAAAATGCAAGCAGGCGGGGTGAAAGATCCCACAATTCTCCTGTAGGGGAACCAATGCAGGATCATAGATGAGGGTCAGAGGCCATCTATAGCTATGTCCCTGTTTCTGGCGGTGGACGGGCATGAACGACACAAGAGACGGGCAGGGATCCGGATTCCCCCTGGCAAAAGCAGACAGGCCGATGGGTCTCCCTCCGGCCACCTGAAACAGTTTGCAGCAGAGTTTCATAGGAGGAAGAGCCAATGTAGGTCAAAGGTGGCCTGCTGCCGGCCTCCAGTTACCTGCTGGTCCAGCTCTTTGTTTTCAGCCGCGGTCTCCTTTGAGATGTTATCTTCTGACAACATGGTGCAGCTAGGAGAGAGAGGGAAGAGAGAGAGAGAATCAGCATTTCTTCAACCAACCCAGTCCCGGAACGCTCGGGCACAATGTCAGGAAAGGACCCCTAGCCTAACATGTCGGTTAAGAAAAAAAGTTATACTTATTCATGGGAAACAGAGAGCTAGTAGGTCTCAGTGGAGCCTCCATGCCCGGGGCAGTATACCAGATGTTGGGGAACCAAAAGAAGCGGGGCTGTTGCCAGGGTGCTAAAAAAGGGCCAGGAAGCCATGTGGCTGGCCACTGTTGAGAAACAGTCTAGGCCGACCTTCTGTTGGATCCACCAATACACTCTTAATCCGACTTCTCAGGATGACTGGCTGAAGTAGTCATTGGCCAAAATGTGTCTTCCATGTATAGGAGCAGTCTACCTTTTATCTGTTGCTTTCATGTCCTCCTGGTGTGCTCCCTAAGGGGAGGAGGATTGACTGCTAGTCCACACCAGCAGGGCAATTTGTATAAGAGTTGGATTTATACCCCGCCCTTTACTCGGAGTGGCTTACAATCTCCTTTCCTTCCTCTCCCCACAACAGACACCCTGTGAGGTGGGTAGGGCTGAGAGAGCTCTGAGAGAGCCGCTCTTGGGAGAACACCTCTGAGAGAACTGTGACTGCCCCAAGGTCGCCCAGCTGGCTGCATATGGAGGAGTGGGGAATCAAACCCGATTCTCCAGATTAGAGTCCGCCGCTCTTAACCAGGACACCTTAAATAAGAGATGTTGTTACAAAAACCACTGGGCCATCCTGGAACCTCCTATGGCCATCAATGTTCCCTCTAAGCTGCAGAGTCTTGTGAGCAAGAATTCTACTTTGTGAGCTAAAGGCCTTAATGTCGTGAGCGAGCGATTTGGCTATTGCATACATTAGTTTGCTCTGGAGCCCTCCTTGCTGAGCCAAGACATAAATGTGTGAGCCAGAGGCTAAAAAACTGTGAGCTGGCTCACACTAACTCAGCTTAGAGGGAACACTGATGGCCATCTACCTCCTCACTTTCTCAGAACATTTGTGCCACTTCTCTCTTCAGAGTGAGATTAAAAAAAACCCTTCACCATTGCAACAGATTCTAACCCTAACCTGACTCTGCTCTAGAGAATCCTCCCTCTATGAATCTACCATCGAACTCCTTGCACCCTAATGTTCACAGGCTGCACATGGGGCAAACACACCTGTTAGGTATTCCAGTGCCCTGCACAAGGCAAGCATACAATCCAGGACACACTCACTCTTCCCTGCAACTGGGCACCCCAGCTGCCTGATACCCTACCAGAGAATAATGCCCCCGTAGAAATCTATGGTGCGGCCTCATTTGGAATCCGTACTACAGTTCAGGTCACCGCACCTCCAAAAAGGTATTGTAGCATTGGAAAAGGTGCAAAAAAGGCCAACTAAAATGTTGAAGGGGATGGAGGTTGAAAAGGTTAGGGCTCTTTAGCGTGGAGAAATGATGATTGAGGGGTGACATGATAGAGGTTCATAAAATTATGTACGGGATAGAGGCGGTCGAGAAAGAAGCCATTTTCTCCCTGCCTCACAATGCAAGAACTCGTGAGCACTCCAGACTACAGTTCTGGTCACTACACCTCCAAAAAGATATTGTAGCATTGGAAAAGGCCAACTAAAATGTTGAACGGGATGAAACACCTTTCCTGTGAAGAAGACGTCAAGAGCCGGCACAGCGGAGCCGGAAAGGATGCAACTGAAACCGGAAGGAGACGGGAGTCGCGCGCCTCGAGAGAGGAAGGTTGCTGCCAGACGCCGAGGAGGGCCCCCCGCCTGAGGAACCGCCGGAACCAACAGGACCAACTACCAACCACCACCATAGGGGTGCCGGTAGGTTTCCCTGCCCCTTACAAATATATGTGGCCATAGTTAGGGTAGTAAAATGGTGACTAGCACCGAACTCCCGCCAAAGCAGCTCAGGGCGGCTTACAAACAATTTAAAACCAACAAACAGTTTAAAACCAGCAAATAAAAATGGGCTATTGTCCCGATCCAACATGGCTTCTCTTATGTTCTTAATCACTTGTGTAACCCCTTCTTCGTCAGCAGCCAGAACACAGCTTTTTGTATGTTCCTGGGGCCGGGAGGAAGAGAAACACATCAATTTTCTAGAAAGTGAAGATAGATTTACATGTTGGTGCATTTGTTCCCATCTCTTAAACTACCATTCTCCTTCAAGTGAAATTTTATGTTTAACTAGACGCAACCAGCCAGGTGTCAGAGTGGCGGTTACTGAACATGTGCAGAGAGAGTACTAAGTTCATGTGTGATATGGAGGAGGTGGGGGGGGGCAGGATTTATGAGTCGTTCCCTAAGGATACCCAGCCCCCAAAATATACTTTTCCCAGTGGCTTTCTATCAAGAACATTTTTATCCCACTGAACTTATTACACAGACCTCAGTGAAGAGATTGGATATATACCCCGCCCTTCACTACCCAAAGGAGTCTCTGAGCAGCTTACAAACTCCTTTTCCTTCCCCTCCCCACAAAAGGCACCCTGTGAGGTAGGTGGGGCTGAGAGAGCTCTCTCTTGAGAACTCCTCTTGAGAGAACAGCTCTGAGAGAACTCATGACTGACCCAAGGTCACACCTGCAGCTACATGTGGAGGAGTGGGGAAATCAAACCCGGTTCTCCCAGATTAGAGTCCACACTCCTAACTACTGCACCAGACTAGCTCTCAATGACTCTCCCTTTTCCAGTGTCGTGTAGTAGGCACTGGGAGACCCAAGTTTAAATGCCCACTCTGCCATTTAAGCTTTCTGGGTGACCTTGGGCCAGTCACACACACACTCAGTCTAAACTACCTCACAGGGTTGTTGTGAGAATAGAGAATGATGGAAGTTACTTTGGCCCTCCACTGGGGAATAAAAGCAGGGTATAAATGGAGCAGATAAATGTTATCCTCACAAAGACCACATGACTGGCCCTGGTGAGATTTATGCCACTGTTGGATTTGAACTCACATCTCCTCAATCTTGGCCAAATGGTCTAACCCAGGGATGTCAAACATGTGGCCCGGGGGCTGGATCAGGCCCCCGGAGGGCTTCTATCAGGCCTGCAGTGGAACTGGCTGTCTTCTGCTGCTTCTTCCAGTTCTGCTACTGCTGCGTTATCATAGGTTTGCAGCTTACTGATACACACCTGAACAGCACACTCAAGATTGCAACAGCACAGACATTTTGATGCAGGAATTCAGAGCAAGGGGTGTCACAGTTATCAGACACTGTTAAATAAAGAAAATATTGCATGTTTTTATTTTGTATTTGTGTCCTTCATAAAGTTTATATCTCTGCTACCTGGCATTCCATTTTATGGCACACATGGCCCGGCCCAACAAAGTCTCATTTATGTTAGATCCGGCCCTCATAACAAATGAGTTCGACACCCCTGGTCTAACCACTAAAAAGACTTTGAACCCAGTGAGGCTTTGCTTTTCCATCCTGAAGCCCAACTGAGACAATTTTGGGAGGGGGGGCAGAGTTAAGTCCGGCAAGTTTCAGCATTTCATGTCCACACTGAAGATCTCCCCCCCCCCCAATACCCACACGACAACAACCTAGAGCCGCCTGAACGGATAGCATCTTCAGGACACCTAGCTATACCACCGAACGGCACGCTCCTCTGGGCACGGACTGCTTTTGCTCTGTTCAAACACCTCGATTGCGCTGCATCTATTTGTACCCTGTGCCAAAATTCGAACTAGGAGAAACAATGCTTTGAAGCCAGAGCCAAGTCAACTTTGCAAATGGGGCCCAAGGAAAGCAAATGAAAGATTCCCCCT